ATACTTTACCAACCTATATTATTAAGTTGAAATATTAGATTGTTAAAGTATTACCGTTTTTCTTTTTTTAATAGAAGCAACAATATTATAAAGTTTAAAATGAGCTTAGAGCTCATATGGTTACTTATAATTTAAAATAGGTTATTAAAAAATGAAAACTGTTTAAGTTATTTTAAATAAGAATAAATTTTATTAATTTTGTGAGAACTTATAAAGAATTTATAAAATTATAAATTAATGTTGATATTTAATTGCATCAAATCAAATAATGGATTTAATAGGTATAGTCATTTTAATATCATGATTTTTAATTTGAGGCAAATTGAACTCTAATGACATTGTTTTTTTTTGTTAAATGTTATCTTCTAAGACTCACAAAATACTTTGAATTTAATTGCAGTCATCCTCGTAAACATAAGAAAAAAATTGTTTTTTATGAAAAACACAAATTTTTTTTTGCATTTTAAAGAACACAAAAATATTACGCGTTATGTAAAACACTTTTTTTTTTGGTTTTTTACCCCTTTTAAAATTTTTTCTCCTCGTGGCTCATAACCTCAAATAATTAAATAACCTTGATCCTTTCAAAATTTTTGTGTTTATAAATCAAAAGTTCGGCTAACTTATTAGTGTCTGTTTGGGGAAGTTTATTTGGTTTGCCAACATATTGAGTTCTGTTTTTATCTTTTGAAATAATTGATTGTTTCTTCATTTATGATTTATGATTTCTTCTTTTGAAAGAATGACATGTTTCTAAAACTTAACTCTATTTATGATTTCCTTAGTTTGAAATTGTGAGGCTTACTTATTAGGGTATGTTTGGAAAATTACAATTAGTTGTGCTTACTAACCAGCTTAAAAATATTGTGTGATTATATGCCTTAACTTTCTTTTGAATAGTAACTTCTGCAAGTACTGGGTCATCTCATCTTCTTATTTGGTCTGCCCGCATATTGAGTTCTGCTTTTATCTTTTGAAAGAATTGATTGTTTTTTCGTTTCTGATTTCTTATTTCTTCTTTTGAAAGAATGACATATTTCCAAGACCTAACTCCATTTATGATTTCTTCAGTTTGAAATTGTGAGGTGTAATAAATGACTTTATGAGTTGTTTTCATTTGTACAAGAGCTGAAGACATATATTATGGACATCTTTTTTAAATAATGTGTTTGTTTTCAATTGATTTGCACTAACTAGATTTTCTTATGCACGTAAGCTTGAAATGTGATGATATTATATGTTTAACAAAAAATTCTTTATATAGTTCCAATATGGCTAAGACAAAATGAAGGTGGTGCGTCAGCTATGTGGGATAAGGAAGTTATGAATACTTTCTGCAATCTCTGTATTACAAAGATTGAGATGGGGAATAGGACAACTGCCTATTTCAACAAAGAAAGTTGACAAAATATTCCTAAAAGATTTAAAGAATTGACTGGAAGAGATTATGTCAAGCTCAAGTTTAAGAATAAATGAAATCAATTGAAAAAAGAGTGGAATTTTTGGGAGTTGAAACGTGGATTAATCGGGTTTGGTTGGGATCCCATTAAACGGATGATCGATGCTCCAGATGAATGGTAGACCGAGAAATTATAGGTAATATTTATATTCTCATTTTGTTAATTCTTATAAAAATTTTATTTACCTTATTATCCCCCTAAACCCCCCTCAATACAATGTTACAAGCAATGCTGACAACAAAAAAATAAAAGTAGAGCGGAATTGAGTCGGATCTTGAAGAAAAACTTGATGTAATGTTTAAGAGGATTGTGGCGACGGGAAAACATGCATTCAACCCTGGTGAGATGTGGTTTGCAGGTATACCAGATGACTTCCTACGTGAGCCAGTGACAGCTGATGAAGAAGTGCATAGTATTAACCAGAGGGAGATGGGGGAGGCCGGTTCACTTTCAGAGAGGCCCAAGCTTGGTAGGAGGAAGAAATAAAAGAAAATTTTTGAGAAAACCTCCTTTGATCAACTCATTGATACTTTTTGAGCTTCACCACTTGCTCCACCACTCGACAACACTATCTTAGAATGTCTTGGAACTTTGGCTTCTCTTCCTGAAAATAGTTGCGGACATGCGCTTTCATGCAAAGTGTGTGAAAAAAATCGAGGATCTAACCCCTAGGCAAATATTCATGGCACCGCAGCCAGAATTGCGTGTTTTGGTGGATGAATGACTTTTTTTTGTGTTTTGTTATTTGTGGCTTTTGTTGTGTTATGAACTTCTAAATGGGTAATTTTAATATGTTGATCTTCATAGTCATGTTTTTTTAATGTCTTCTAAATGAGTCATGCTTGTCTATAAACTGATCTTTGTACATATTTTTTCTAAGGGCTTCATGTTTTTATTGCTTATTGCTCGCTTCTATTATGTTTTAACAATTATTGAAATAACCGACACCTTTTTCCTTTAGGATGGATTTGCAGCAGGAACACCATAAAAGAAAGGCATGGGCTGCAACTATTGCAATATTATTGTTGGAGTATTACCGATTCGCAGTGTTTGTATGCCCCGTATGACATCCAACTTTGTTGGGGATAAATAAGTAGGTGAGATGATTTATATACATCTAATAAGGTTCAACAACATATTTCGAATGAGTGAACTTATTTGTATGGATCTCCTGCACGAATTATCTCTAAATCACGACCTTTAAGGTTCTTCTAGACGATGAAAAGGGAAGTGTTGGCTATAACATTATACATTATGTCACATAACGAATCAATTAGAAGTGTTATGAAGATATTTCAACATTCATAAAAAATAATAAGTTGTTACTTCTCCAAAGGCATATAAACACTTGTTAGCTTTGCATCTCAAATCGTTGAGCCAGATGGTCTGTCATTTGCTAGTACTCCATGACAAATTGCCAACGATCACCGTTACATGCCTTATTTTAAGGTAACTATTGATTTCTTTATGTAACTACCAAAATATAAATATTTTATAACGCTGTAAAACAAAACTGCATAGGTGTAATTGATGGTACTCATGCTGATGCCCGGCTACCCAACCAGGATAAGGAGGCATACATTAGTCGTAGTGGTTCAAGGACTCAAAATATCAAGGTGGTGTGTGACTTCAACGCGTGTTTCACTTTTGTCATGGCGGGATGGTAAGGGAGTGCACATGACAGTCAGATATTCTTCTGTGCAACTAAAAATAGATCACAGTGTTTTCCTCACCCACCTTCATGTATGTTTTGATTTGCAAACGTATTAGTTATATGTATTATTTGTCATTAACATTGTCTTTCATAACAGAGAAATACTATTTGGTTGATGCTGGATATCTTATGTAGAGGGGTTACCTGAAGCCATATCCAGATACTAGATACCATATTCCTGATTTTGAACGAGTAAGTGACACCATCCGTGATAGGAAATAAATGTTTAACAAACATCGCTTCTCTTTATGCAGTGTAATTGAAAGAACGTTTGGGGTTTAGAAGAATAAATGGGTCATCCTACCTCATATACCGTCGTATCCATTTCCAAAGCAGATGCATATTGTGGTGGCAACAATAACACTTCATAACTTCATCTAACAACATCCTTCACTTTAAGATACGAACTTTAGTATGGCTGATAACGATGAACTGAATGTCTCTGAAGAACCATCAGAAGTTGTGGTTGGGCCTTCAATACCTGAGGGTGAGATTGACTAATGAATTTGAAATTCATGATGCTTAGGGTAGGCTGAGATGACTGCTTTGAGGGAGTCTATCGCAGATGATATCTATTGGAGCTGAGCCACCAAGTCTTATTTATTTAGTACACTATAGGTTTATTTTCATCAGCATTTTTTTAATTTTTTTTAGGATCTCAAAATTGGTTTTTTTAGCAGCTATAACACTTGACTTATAGGATTTTTGGGACAAACCAAGTTGTTTTGTGTTACTGCAGACTATCGGCTCCGTTACTCACGTAAAGTCAGTCTCACAGCAGTGGGAGACAGTTCTACTTTTGCCGCAATGGTGTTTCAGCTTATTGTAGTTTCTTCCAATGGGCCGATAATCCAACATGTTACACTGGCAGCAGTGATCCAGATGTGATGATTTCCCAAGTTGACAGTGCAGCTGAGGACAGATGCAGTCAGAGTTTAAAATTGAATATTTTAATATTTCATATTGTATTTATCATTTTTTTTTATTTTTTCTGATACTCACGAGAGTATGAGAACTGCATATCATCTTTTTTGAATTGATCTGTGATAATTTCAAGCTTCTGTATTATATACTTCTGTGCTCATTTTACTTCTGTTGCAAACAATTTAACCAAACAGGGCATGAAGGTCATTTATCAAACAACAACTATCAATATGCTATTCTGAATAAGCTCTCCCAAACAACAATCCAACTTATTCTAATAATCTACAGATTATTAGATTATCATAATAATTTGCTTATCACTATATTATAAATAATCAACAGTTGCCCCAAATAGACCCTTAATGTGCAGATGAATTACTAGAAACTTGGTGAGTCGAACATGTGCAATTTGTGAACGATGTATTCGTTTAATTTCAGACCAACACAAAATGTGGCAGTTTAACAATTTTATAAATATATTAAAAAAAAGTTAAAACTTAAAGTTTAAGATTAACATTTATATGACCTCAATGTTGTAAATTTACGCATAAAATAAAGACACATTTATCTTTTAAAAAGTTGATGTTAAAACTTTGAGTTCTATGAAACTAAATATTAAAGTTTAACTTTACATTTGTAAACAGATAAGAATTGTATGTGATAAACATTGGGGCAATTACATACAAACCCACCAAACTTGGCATTTACAAACTAACCATCCAATTTCATCCATTTTTCAAATATCAAAATTCATGGCAAAACCTGGGCCCATATTTTCCTATTTATGTCAAATTCAGGGTTTGATTGTGATATAATTAATTTATAAATATGAATATTTACAGTGCTCTCTACGTAATTATCCCAAAATTTTTAATAGTAATAGGACGTACTATTAACTTCTTATTTTTCTGATCTCAGAACCAAAGCCTGCCACCGGCCATTTCATCGTCTTCCCCCACTTTACGACGTGCTTCGCCTGCTCGGAGCATCCGAGAGTTATAGGTTCCATCATAACTCAAGCTTCTTTCCTTATTGTTTCTCTTCGCCGTTTTCTTCTTTTTTATCTAAGAAGTCAGGGGAATATCTCAGGACTTGACTCATGGCTTCCAAGCGAATTTTGAAGGAATTGAAGGATTTGCAGAAGGATCCTCCGACTTCATGCAGTGCAGGTTCCTCTTTGATTGAAATTTTTCGTTTTCCCCGGATTTGGGAGGATATATACTGCTTTAGATCTTTCAAATTTAAGGAAATATTTTGAGTATGCTTGCCATAAAAAAGTATTTCGTCTCTCCTACAAAGATTTTGACCCCTGCGTTATGCCATCTGGAGGTGAAATTGTATGACTAAGTTATGGCTCCTAGGCTGCTCAGTAACTTTGAGAGATGTGTTTTTGGATAGAATCCATGCACATCTCAGCATTGCTTTCCAGTCTAGATTATGTAACATGGAAGATATGATGCCTTATTGCTGAAAGAAGGATTTTGATTGATTCATAAAACTGAAACAAAAAAATTTACCCTGAATATTGAAATTTAAATTATTCCGATCTAAATTTTGTTTCAGCCTTAACCCTTCTTGTGAAAAAAACTCCAATCTTTAGCATAACATAAAAAATATCACTGATATTAACTTTTCTAAAATGAAATACACTTTTTGATATTTTTGTGGCACTAAAATACTATATAAGTAAATGTCAAATTTTAGATTTTAGTCATGTAAGTAAATAAGAATTGTGTGGTATACATGTAAATTCCTATTGAAAAAAATTAATTGATTAGTACACAAACCATCATTGAGCATAATATATTGTCTTTAAAGTTACTTGTTGTTTGTGAAAGTGAATAAATAAATTCGATCGGAGTTAAGTTTAGTTCATTTTACCTCAAAGCTTATAAAAATTGTTTGAATTTGTTCAATTGCGAATTTGACTGTATTAATCAAGTCAAATTCAAGCTATTTATTAGATGGAGTAGTTCACTTACAACCTTAAATATAATATTGGAGCATTAGGGGTTTGTTTGTTTTATTTTACTTGCTCATGGAAAAAGTGACATCAAATGCAATCAACTTTTAGTGAAACATTGACTGGGATACATTCACTCTTTTTTCGTGATTGATATAATGTTTCTTAGATGTATTTGTCCATATGCCAAGCTGATCATTGGTAATCAAGATAGGACTTATGCATCTGTATATAGATGAAAAGGATTACTTTTTCATTAGTTTTTGCTTTCTATTTTTGAAATTTATGGTCTTTCTAGCATCCCGACTTTACAATTGTTCAATGGAAGCTCCTTCTTTAAGTTTAATTCTTAATTTAAAGCTTTTCTGTAGTTTGGTAATGATAACAATCTACAACTTCAGCAAACTATTTCATAGTCTATACAAACATAGTCTCTTTATTAGTACCTAAATTAAGATTTCCATTAAGTCTTATTTTTCCCCTCAATGAACAGAGTTTTGGGCTTTAAGACAATATTTTTTTCTTTGGTTATGGATGGTCTTACTGGACAATTATAGGAGGATGTAACTTGGTGTATGCTTTTTGCTGATGATATCCTTCTCGTGGCTAAGATGAGAGAAAAAGCTTAGGAAAAACTTGAATTATGGAGGTCTACCTTGGAGTCTAAAGGCCTTCGTTTGAGTAGGACTAAAACTAAATACATGGAATGTAATTTTAGTAGTAGAAGCTATAGTGACAAAATCTAACAATGGGTGGTCAAATTATTAAAAGGTGTGAACGTTTTAGATATCTCGGGTCTATTATTCAAATTGACGGTGATATTGATGGGGATGTTATTAGTAGAGTTCAAGTTGGTTGGTTGAAGTGAAGGAATGCTTCGGGCTTATTGTGTGATAGAAAAGTACCGCTTAGACTGAAAACAAAATTTTATAAGATGGTGGTGAAACATGCAGTGCTCTATGGCGCTGAATGTTGGGCTTTAAAAGAGAAGTATAAAACTAAGTTAAGTGTTTGACGAGATGAGCATGGTTAGGTGGGTGAGTGGCTTTACACTTAGAGACAAAATGCTAAATGAATATATACGTGATAGGGTTGGTGTAGCTCCAGTGACGGAAAAAATTAGAGAGAGTCGCCTTAGATAGTTTGGTCACATTAAACGTCGACCATCTGATGATCCGATTAGAATAGTAGATGTTTTATATTCGACTTACATTAAGAAAGACAGATGTAGACTTATGAAGACTTGGGCATATTGTATAAAAAATGATCTTAATTTATTAGAATTATATGAAAATATGACACTAAATATGACACAATGGAGAAAAATGATTCATGTAGCTGACACAATGGAGAACAATGGAGAAAAATGATTCATGTAGCCGACCCCACTTAGTGGGATTAAGGTTTTGTTGTTGCTGTTGTTGAATAGAGTTTTCGGTGGAACTACCCCAACTTCCATATGTTATTGGTTTAATATCCCTGCAATACTTATGTGTGTGTCAAATAAGTTAGGTTTTTTCAAGCCTTCGTTTGTAAGTTAATTATTTATTTGTATAGATATTTCATGTAACCCCAATTTTATAGAAATTGATTTGTAGTTCTTTATTGACACACCATCTTCTAAATTGTTTGGATATGATGATGATACTGATTTTCCTTACACTTACATTAAGATCAAACTATTTAATAGTTTAAAATGCAACCAATGTATATGATTTTACTCAAGCACCCTATGATTTTTTGTGTTGTTTGCCACGACTGACAATTTACTATCATAGTATTTATGGTAGATGTCACTTATGTTGTTGATTCTAAAATCATGCACTTTTTATTTGATGAAAGTTGATTTAATGCTCACATTTGTAATCATGCGTTCAATAAAACTTCTTAGCCATTAGCCAGTTTAATGCTCCGCCATTAATGCATTCTATCTGTATATTGCCAATTTAGTCTCAAAATATATATTTTTTCCAATTTAGTTTCTTGACTATCCAAAATTAATCTATAATGATTATTTAGAACTAAAGTGGAATCAATTTTATATAGTTGAATGACTAATTTGAGATCAATTTTGTATCACAATTTCTACATTAGAGATCACTTAGATCATTTTTTTTATAGTCAATGGACTAAATTAGAGAAGTGTGGTACTTTGGGACAAAATTGGCCACACCCTAAATTGTTGGGAAACTATTTTGGAGTAATCTTTCCCTTTTAATTTATTTCAATATGCCAATCTATAATGCTAAATTGTTGGCCAAATGCATTTTTATTGAAAAATTTGTAAACCACCACCACGGTTTTTCTTGTAAGAATGTTTTGATTTTTTCAGTGAAAATGTTCTTCATCCTTTATGTAGCCAGGGTAAATACCGCCTATAACTTTTACATTAGGGTTTCTTAGCTCCAGCTATTAGTTATCTCATTCTTATAGCTGTCTAGTAAAATCAATGTACACTCCAGCTACGAGTTATCACTTTCTTATAGCTGTCTAATAAAATCAATTGACAGCAGCAACATAGTAATCCTTTAGCTAACTCTAACCTTGGATTGTGAAAAAAAATATTCTACGCCATTATTCGGTTGGTCTTTTCTTTTTTTTTTCCTTACTTTAACTCTCTGAATTTTATAGGTCCAGTGGCTGAAGACATGTTTCATTGGCAAGCAACAATCATGGGTCCTCCTGATAGTCCATATGCAGGGGGAGTTTTTCTAGTGAACATTCATTTCCCCCCAGACTATCCATTCAAACCACCTAAGGTATTACTTTTTTCAATCTTCTTTAAATGTCTATCAGTATTGTTACTTTGCATGCTTATAATTTGAGTTATTGTATAATTTTCTTAATTTAAAGTGCTCTTATTTTTCATAATTAATGGTTTGTGTGCGATAAATATTTGACTAGTTTTAGGGGCCACTTGATTTTTTTTTTTCGTTTTTCTTGGTAGCAGATTATTCCTGAGAGAACTTTTGATTTTATTTTAAGAATTTTGACATTTATATTTTACCACTGATAAGTGAAATACTTACCAATTTAGTAGTGGTTCATGTAAATGATGCAATGCATATACTTTCCACAGCTTTATTAACTTTCTAAATTCTTTCATGACCATTTTCTATACTTATTTTTGATGTGGAGAAAGTCATGGAACCCCATTGTTTATAATGTGAGTTATAAAGGTGCAATTATTAAGGGAGCCATAGGTAGGATACTTTAAATCCTAATGTCATTCTCAATCTTACAAGCTTGTTTGGGTTGATAAGACAATGATGCCAGTCAAGGCCATGCTTATATATTCATGGACAGCTAGATTGTAGTTCCTTTTCCAAAGAATCCTATTTTGATGTACTTGTTCAATTTATTTTTTTCTATTTTGATTCCATAAGGAAAACCTTGAAATGTTTTAGAATAAGAAGGGGGAATTCACAAACCTTCCAGACGAAGAGCATAGATTCAGTAGCAAGAAATTATAAATTCTATCAAGAAAGGCCTTCTAACAGTTTTGATTTTAACCAATTATGCTAATATTATTATGCATGTTAATTCCATTTAGCTTAATAATTACTTATGATTATTGCATATGTACTTGTAAGTTGGTTTTATCAACTTAATATCACCTGTTTTGGTAGTCGACAACCAACATAAAATTTTTCTCGAAAACTCATGATAAGAATCCCTTAAATCATTTCTCATAACCAGTTTGGATTTATGCTAGACAAGTCTACTATAAAGTTATATATTTATTGAGGGGTTTGATTGGAGAAGTACAGAGAGAGTATGGGGGATCTACATATGTTTTGTTTTTTTGTTTTTTGTTTTTTTTGACTTAGAAAAAGCTTATAAATAAGGTTCCAAGAGAAGCTCTTTGGAGAATTCTAGAAAAGAAAGGTGCTGATATGACTTATATTCAAGTCATTAAAGATGTGTGTGCTAGAGTTGTTACTTGTGTTCGAACAGAAGGAGGATTGATCATGTGTTTTCCTATTTCAGTTGGATTACATCAGAGATCAACTTTAACCCATATCTTTTTTGCTTTATTTATGGATGCTATTAGTGGACATTTACATGAGTATGTACCTTGGTGTATGCTTTTCGCTAATAATATCCTTCTTGTGAAATAGAAAAGAGAGAGTTTAGAAAAAAACTTGAATTATGGAGTTTTGCATTGGAGTCTAAAGGCCTTTGTTTGAGTAGATCTAAAAAAGAATATAGGGAATGTAATTTTAGTAGGAGCAACTCTAGTGGCAGAATTGTAGCTATGGACGATCAAATCATTAAAAGGTGTGAACGTTTTAGATATCTTGTGCCTATTATTTATAGTGATAGTGATATAGATGTGGATGTTATTAGTAGAATACAGGTTGGTGGGTTGAAGTGGAGGAATGCATCAGGCCGATTGTTTGATAGAAAAGCACTGCTTAGACTTAAACGAAAATTTTTTAAGATGGTTGTGAGACCCACAATACTTTATGACTCAAAATATCAACCTTTAAAAGAGAAGCATAAAACAAAGTTAGTTGCCGTAATGCAAATGTTTAGGCGGATGAGTGGCTTGACACTTAGAGACAAAATGCAAAATAAATCTATCCGTGAAACGGTTGGTGTAACTCCAGTGACATACAAGATTAGAGAGAGTTATCTTAGATGGTTTGTTCACATTAAACATCGATTATCTGATGATCTGATTAGGAGAGTAGATGCTTTAGATTTGACTTTTGTTAAGAAAGACAGAGATAAACCTAAAATGGCTTCGGCCTATTGTTTAAAAAGTAATCTTAATATATTAAAATTAAATGAAAATATGACACTCAATAGGACAAAATGGAGGAAAATGATATATGCAGCCGACCCCACTTAGTGGCCAGACTTGTTGTTGTTGTTATTTTTGTACTCTTAGTTGAAAGAAACACATCATGGCTAGAGTGAATCGGGTGCACCATTAGAGCAGAAAAAAATATTCATATCTTGCATAAGTTTCACTATGAATGTATTTGTTTGAGGGTTATTTATTTTTTACTTGCTATAAGTATCTGAGAGATCTTTTCAAGGCTACTGCCTTACTTGAAAATTTTGCTTGTCTTTTTTTTTTAATATTTATACCAGTTAAATTTACTGAATGAACTTAGACTTTATAGAATTTAGCATGTCATTAATCTCGTTTCTTTAGTCATTCTTAGCTTATGTGCCACATCATTCAATGAATCCTACATGTATGTTGTGATCAAGGGGCAAGGTAATATGATTGGTTTTGATAAGATTCAACTGGGGGAACTTTGCTTCCCCTGGTAGACCGAAGATGTAACAGTGGCGGGGCACAACTCAATTGATTTATTCTATTACCAATATCAATTCTGGATCGTTGTCTAGCAACATAGAGTGAGTGATAAACCCAATAACATGAATGAATCAAGCATAATGTACCACATAATTTTTAACTTATATAGATCTAATCAACACAATTCAATTCCACGAAATGTTTCATGACAGCCAATGTCCAAAATGGCCATTAAATATAACTTGGGGAGCTGTGATAACTTATATTATCTGGGCCTAGTATGAACTATGGTAAACTACGACTACTTTAAATATTGTCGCTAATCTTAGAATATTTTTAAGTATTGGCCTATGAGTTAAGAGAAATATGGTAATCGATATTATGCACAAATGTGTAGTGATAAGCTTTAGAACGAACAAAACCTATCAAGTCAAGGGGATTGAACAAAAGGTATCTAAATGTAGTGTGTGTGTGTCACACACTACTTTAGAATGAAATCTATATGTAAATGCATTTTGCAATATGCAAATGATTAGGGACATATGATGATATAAGACTAGTTAACTCAGGTCAATTTAGGTTGGACCTGGACTGACCAATATCTTACACAAGGGTGCTTGCAAGTATTCAAAACAAATTTTTTTCTTTAGAGTAGATCATACCAAATTATATGAAATTCAATTTTGGGGAATTTAGTTTTTCAAAGTAATTATGCTAGCTTCAAAGAAAAAAAATTCCAAGATAGGAATTTTGAAGTTAAAAAACATAAAATTCCTCAACTTGAAAATTTGATATTTTAAAATTAAAATTTAAGGGCTTTAATTTTTATAATTGAATGATTAATTTCAAGGGCATGCTAAAAGTTAAATTCAATGGTAAAATTCTAGTTTTTTTTAATTAATTGAATAATTCAAAAGAAAAATAGGATTTAAACAAAAAAAAAATTGATAATTTACCAACCTATAGCCACATGACGATGATCAATATGTCAAATTTTTTTAATCAAATAAAGTTTAAAGATTTAAGTAGTTTTTTTAGAATTTTTGGCAGCTTTCATAGTTAACACTAAGAGGTGAAAAATAAATTTTTTTTTTTTAAAAATGGAAAACTATTGTTGTTATGCTATTACCTATCCAGTGAATCAGTGAACTTGGATGAGTCGATTAAGGCATGAGTAATAATATTAAGAGCTATATGATTTTGTAAGTAAAAATATGCATTTTAATATTGAAGATCCACATCTCAAAGCATACAAATCCAATGCACAAAATTTAAAACAAATTTTCTTGTGCATAAATAGATCGTACACAAATAATTTTCATTTATTTGAAATCATCAAATCTTTGTATAATTACTATAAGTATAACATTATTTATGAAAGTTATCAAATATTAAAAAAAATTTAAATCAATCTATACCCAAATATTTTCTATAAATGACATCCTTGTCTCTTAACAGTAGTAGAATGCCTGATAATGAATTTTCTTGATTAAACCTATTTTCTAAGAGTTCACAAAATAGGTTTTGATAAGGGAAAATTAGAAAATTGTAATCCATGACTGAAAAATGCTGGTAAGGCATTCAATAATTTTAAATAATTCTTTTAAACTTTCAAAATATTTTTTAAAGTGATTTAAGCTAAATTTTTTAATTTAATAATTGAAATAATTAATGTTTCAATACAAAATCTTTCTAAAATATTATTAGAAAAATTAGGATTTGCTCATTACAATGCCAATGAAACTAATTTCACATCCCTATGAATATAATAAAGGATTTAAAGGATTCATGTTAAGATGAACATGCAAAGGCTAAAAATAAAATGCAAATCCTAGTTCTTCATGTGAAAAATCAAATGCATGATGAATAGTTGAAATAAAGTTTTCAAATGCATCTGAAAAGCTATCCCAAAAGTTTTCATATTTGTGGTATTTTATTTTTAATAATTGATTTACCGAATATTTAAATTATTATTTCAATGAAATTATCTTAAACTACTTTAGAAGTTTAAAAAATTACTATATAATAGAATTATACAATTAAATGTGGTCCCGACTGTTTATATGCAACAATATAACAATGACTTTAATTATAAATTTCATTTTTATTTTCTTACTTTGCAACAGTACCAAAAACTTATTCCTAAAGAAAATAAGAATTTAACTTTTTAATTTATATATATATTGAGATACTACACAAGTATACGTATCGTTATCAAGTAATATATGACTTTTTGATCTGAATATCAAATCCATAGGGAAATTATGCAATATGCAATTTTGAACAACAAACTTTATATTCTAAAAAGACAATTACTTAAACTATAAATATTTTTCAGTATTAAAATTCAAATATATATTTTTTTTTGATATTTTGACAGAACAGTAACAATTTAAAAAGATAACCTGAGTTTATGTAAAAGAAAAACATTAAATTTGAAAAATATTTTTCTCCTTATCATTAATCAGTAATAAGTATAGGAAT